TATATGCGGTGGAGGTAACTGTGTAATCTCTATCATTCACAGTCTCAACCTAAATGTGGTTGACAGAAAATGTCAGCCAAATTAAAAACCACTCAGTATCACAGCTGTGCAACATATTTTGCCAACACATCTTAAATTTAAAACCACTTTCTGCTAGAAATATTGATGCTTAATGATTTAAAATGACAATATTGTTCTTTACATTTAATAAAATTATTTACATGATCTCTCCTGTTGCATTCCTCCAGGGTTCACAACACATCATCCCTTTTGCACAAGGACCATTACAGAATACAGATTGTTTAAAGGAGAAGACAAAAAAAAAAAAAAACTATATGGTTGAAAAAAAATATACAAAATTTTAAAATTTAAAAAAGTTGTGTTGAGTTTTATTCCTACTGCACTAATTCAGGCTTTTTTTAAACTTGGGAATTGTTGTGTGTCATATTAAATTGCACAGTCCCCTTTCAAATAAATCAAATCAAAATACTCTTGAAGAATTTAATGTCTCAGTTGCTGTGTTTTGTAGAAAAATTACACACAAAAATATGGGAAAAAAAATTACTGTCAGCTGAACATTATGACTTTGTAAATCATTCCCAAAAATAGAAAACAAATAAATACATTTAGAAAAAAAAACGATACATCTTTGTATTGTTTTTTTTTTCACAATCGTGAGTAAATTGTGTGACTTTAAGTCAAACTTTGTAAGCAGATTTTTTTGAAACTTTTTAATTTTTTTGCTTTGCCGTAATGTTTCATTTATATTACTATTGACTATTCAATTGATGAAATTAAAATGACAAAGTGGATGGAATAATGATGGAGGAGTACTACTTTCAAATTATTTAACTTCATCTCAAATCCACATCTAGAAGGTTGAGTGTAATGTAACCAGTTACCAAGTTGTAACATGTCATTAAAGCAGGGGTGTCAAACTCATTTTCACTGAGGGCCACATGAGCGTTGTGGTGGCCCTCACAGTGCCAGTTTTAAATAACTTTAATGTTTTGTGTTTAACGTCGAATAAACACATAACATCACGTTCCTTGTGTCATTGCTACGGCTGAGTACTGCTAACAATATTTGAGCTCTACATGGTATTTCCTGCATAGAAACAGTGTTTTCAAATATCCTCTTATAAACACTAAAAAGTGCTATGCGTAGAACTGACTAAATGTGAAATAAATAATACAGAAACATTATTAAAAATAAAAGTAAGAGTTTTACTCGCTGTTAAGATGTGGTAAGTAGCTCCCATCTTGAATTTTGAACTTTGCCAGTTTGCAGCAGGGAATTACAACTGGAGGGTATTCCAGTTTAAATTTACAACTTGTACGTGGGAAATTCCCACTTCCCAGTACAACTGGGCCATAGCACAAGTAGCTTGCGTAAATGAAGCTAAATGTAGATTTTACAGGAAGTTTGCCAGCTTCCGGCTACTTTTGAATCCTGAGCATCTCCACCTAGAGGGACGTTGTCATTTTGCAGGTAAAATAATCAACATGCATTATGGGAGATGTAGTTTATGGTTAATGCTGACTTTAACGAAGCTATTTTTGAGACATTAATACAGGACTATTCAGAGAAAATGCTCGGGGTGGGGGCGCACAGTTGTATACAGTTAACAGCTCAGGGGCCGGACAATTATTATCTTTCACCTTTTATTTGAAGGCCAGACGGTGGACTTTCTGAACTGCTGTTTGGTGCTTAGGCTAAAACAACTGTCAAAGTCCATTCCCCCCAACTGAAGGTGCAAGGAAGCTACCCTCTGATCTACAGGGGTAAACAACATGTAGGCAAAAGTCAGGGGTCTAAAAGTAGACCAACACCAGCTCGGCGCCTCTCACTATGAGCAACTCCTGAGTGAAATCATGCCCCGCCCCTCTCGAGGAGATTGGTTCCAGAGTCCATGCTGTGCATCGAGGTGAGCCTAACTATATCTAATCGGTACCTCTCAACCTCACACACAACCTCAGGCTCCTTCCCCACCAGAGGGGTCACAGACCATGTCTCAAGAGCCAGCTTTGGTAGGTCAGGGTCAGAGCGCCATGGCCCCCGTTGTTGGCTACTGCCTATGACTTCGTGAATCCGACTCACATGGCCCCTCCAGCAGGTGGTGGACCCACAGGAAGGCAAACCCATTTTCCTAATTCGACTGAGACCGGCCGGACCCCATGGGAAGAGACCAGGAATTTAAATGACATTGGTGGGGTCCCAGTGACCCACCTCCATGCAAGGGACACAGAGCTCTTTGATTGTTTTTGTCCATATGCATGTTTTGAACCTCCGGTGAATCATCACCTTATCGTGGTGGAGGAGTTTGTGTGTCTGAATTATCCTAGGAGCTAAGCTGTTGGGGGCAATGAAAGTGGTAGGGTCCCCCAACACAGATTTGTCATTAGTGGCAGGCCGGACCAAGTACCGTTCAAAACACTCGTATGGACAAGTCGTGAATAGAAAAAGCAAAACTAAAATCCCCAGAAAGACCAAGATAAATTGTGTCCCTGCAGATAATGCAAACAAAGATGTTCGGGGCCTGGAGGAATGCACAAGGAGGAAGCGTAAATTAAACAATAAGATATAAAAAGTTAAAGAGAAAAACGCACAGGGAACGGTGTTTGTGTTACCAGTTGCCTCTTGAGTACCTCGCAGCTTCTTCTGCCAATTCATCTCACTGAAGAGATCTTCTGAGCGCAGAAAGAAGTCATTGATCTTGCTGCCTTGCTCATCTCGCTCTGTGGTGTAGTACACTCGCAGCTTGGACTCTTGTGTGAGGAACTCACAGATGTTGGGGACAGGAAACACAATCTGCTCCATAGTACGATCCAGCCGTACAATCTGAACACAACCACAACAACAGACACCATAGCAAACTATTACACAGAACCAAAGAAAAAAACTCTCTTCAAGTGGAAACACTTGTTTATATTTGACAAGATAATCTTTTTTCGCAGTTAAGTAATCTGACTGCATTAGTTGTTTGACAGTAGTTTGCAGCAGAAACCAAAAATTGTTTTCTTTACTACAAAAGCTGAACCGACAACTTCTGTAAGATGTGAACAATCTGCATTCCTTCTGCTCACGAGTGCACGAGGAAATGTGAAAACATGCCGAAGGTGTTAATCACTCTGTTACAATGAAACTTAAAAGCTTGCCAAAAGGAAAAAACAAAGAAGTTCCTCACATATCTGAAGTGAATTGTTGCACTACATGTCCCAAACATCGAGGACTCTTTTTTTTTTAGAAAAATTTGGAAGAATGTCAGGGAGGAAACAACAAAGTTATTTAACAAGTGGATAAAAAAAACAAAAAAACAGAAAATTAAATTTTTTGCTGAAACATCACAGCAGCTAACCTCAATCTGAGCTGTGTGTTTGGCATAAAACTCGAGTGCTTCGTCACCCTCCCCATACGTTCCTCCTGGTTTCAACATGGCCTGCAGTTCCTTGTTGTGACGGGCTAACTGAAACAAAAATAAAAACAAAACAGATTATCATCACAGGTGTTTATGTTAGTATTAAAAAGACATAACAGAAGTGTTAAATTGTAATCTTGTTTGCAGCTTAGTGGGGCTGGGCGATATGGCTGAAAAATGTAACACGATATAAGTGTTTTAAGTACTGAGGACCTGGAGAAAAAAGGCTGAGTAATACCGCCAAACTGGCGATGTGATCTTCCCTCTTTTATCCACAATTTCCTTTCGAGACGTTGAACTCATTTTCTCCTTTCACTCCACGTTGTTCTTTTTATTTTGAAGCAGTTATGAGACCCTGTGGTGAAACATGAAACTGCTACTGTGCAGTTCACACAACAGGTTGTTGTTAGCTTACAAAAGAGTGAGTCGAGGCCAACAACCATGCTTAACTGGGCCGTGAGAGGTCGAGCGGCTAAAGCCTGTCTTCTGCCTACATCTCCCAGAATGCCGTGCGGAGTTCAATAAAATTATCAACATTCTATCGGACGTATTTTCTATTGATATCGATCACGTGTCTATCACGATATATATTATTGTTTTATTGCCCAGCACTACTGGTTGATCTAAAACACATGCTGATTTTTCTACCCCTTCTTTTAGATTAAAGGTATTTCACATGTTCACCAGCAGTGCTACAAAGTGGAGACTAAAACACAACCTCAATTCCTTCCTTTGGTCCACCTCCTCCATATTTTAGTTTGGAAAGTTCCTTTGGGAACCAAAAAGTGGTGGTTTTCTACTCAGCTGAACGGCCTCAGAGGAATATAACCAGAGGTGGAGAGTAATGAAGTAAATTTACTTTAGTACAATGCTTAAGTACAGTTATTGAGAATTTGGATTTTACTTAAGTAGCATTTTTGTTTAGAAAACTTTACTTTTTCTCCATTAAATTTCTCTGAACGCTTTGGTTTCTAGTTACTTTTTTTGGTCATGTTTGTGTAGTTTCTGTCTATTTTGTTCCACCCAACACCCTTGTACAGTAGGTGGCGATCAGCAGTTCGAAGGTTTAGAGGAGAAGAAGAAAAGTAATTTTTGTCCTACTAGCATGGCCATATAGCTAAACTAAGTATAGGTATGCTTCAGCGTTATTGCAAGTCTTTGTCTGGATCCTGATTAGTCCTGATTTTAACATGGTATCTCATTTAAAACCCAAGTTAGAGCACTTTAGACTTTTAGTCCCTTTGTTTTATTAATGGATTTCAAACCCCTGCCCTAGTGCGTACTGTCATTGTGTCCCTGAGCAAGACACTTCACCCAACCTCCCCATATAGAAATCTGTTGGTGTGACTGGAGGGACCGTAGCTGCAGAATGGCAGCAACACTTCCACCATTGAGTGTGAGTGAGGAGTGAATGAATAATGAATGAAAAAAAAAGCTTCTTTGAGTGTCTAGGAAAGCTCGATTTAAAATTAATGCTTTATCATTTTATATTTGGAGTTACGTATCTGTTCAATGTAGCAGAAGATTTTCCCAATTATTCACGACTACACTCAGATGAACTGCATTTTTAAAAGAACTTATAAATTTTAAGTACTTTCAGTACTTAAGTGTTTTTAAAGCACATACTCCAGTGCTTTAACTTAAGTAACAATTTGACAGATCTACCAATACTTTGAAGATTTATTGACAATATACTGATTTAAACTATTATTTGATTAGTATTGTTGAATTTAATGTTATATTTGGAAATGGCAGCAGATACTGTCTAAGATTTTTTCTTCTTCTGCTACCATTCATTTCATTTTATTTTAAATAATTTTAATATATATGTGTAGGTATTATTATTATTAGTATTATTATTTCCCTCATTTTGTTTTATGTTTTGAATGTATTTTGTTTTGTTTAAATGCAATGAAATGAATAAACTAAACTAAACTAAACTTCTGTTGGAGTAATATTTGACCAGTAGGATTAGTACTTTGACTCAAGTAAGGAAACTGAGTACTTCGTCCACCACTGAATATAACCGTGATAGGGTCAAGAAGTGGAAATGTCATCAGGCTACTTTATATCACTGAATATGAATAAATTTTTTAACTCCTTTATGGCAACCCATTGGAATTTCTTTCCACAATAACCTTTAGAAAGTACAAGGCTTACTTGATGTGCCAAGATGTAGATATTATGACCAACGTTGCGCGGAGATGCTGAAGGTTCTTCCTCTCCATCTTCATCCTCCTCTGGCTCCTTCACCTCTATCTCACCCTGCATGTAGGCTTTTTTAATCACTTCCACCTGCAAAAATCCACACAGTCAGAGGTTCCTCTTAGCAGCATGTAATGACTTGTACGATGACACTCACCAGCTCTTTAGGCCTCATGTTGTACAGTATCCTCTCAGCGTTCTCACTGTCATGGCGACTCTCCATTATGGCAAGAAGAAGCTTGGAGGCATTGTTCTGTGAAAGACACAGACACAAAAATGAAATTAAACTTTAAAAACACTTTTGCTTTTTCCAAGCGTAGTTTCAGATGTGCTTTTTAAAAGCAAAAATACCAGCTATAAGTCAACATAGCTTCAAGACTTTCAACAATGACCTGATTTTAGGATGTGAATGTGGTTTCTTTTCTATAGCTCATGCAAAAAGCACATTTGTGGTTGCACTTCAATGATTTTTTTATGCTTCAGTCATTGTTATTTAAGTTATAGTGCCATTGCACTTCAAAGATCATACCTAGAATTTCTAAAACCAACTTCAAGCAATCAGTTGTGAAGTATTTCTGGCTGAGCTCTTATGTGAATATGTGGCTTCTGTCAGAGAACAAATAAATCAACCCGCAGACAAAGACTAACCACCACAGTAACCAATACACACTCACTTTGAGCTCCAGCACCAAATCCATCCTTTTCTTGCCAAGAGGGTTGATGTCATTGAGAATGAGAGCAATGATGATATCGATGCCATTGCACTCATGAGTAGCAATGCAGTTCTGAGACACAAAAGAAAAAAAAGGTAGAAGGAATAAGATAACTGAATGTAGATGAGTTACTGCAGAAAAACAGAAATCACACAGTAAGAGTACAGAGCTTACACTGAAGACAGAATCATTGTAAAAATAAGCCAAAGAATTAACCTAATCCTTGTGAGTAAAATAAACTACACTGAATATCCTGCATGTAGGGTTGGTTGATGGTACAATAATGTATTTTACTGAAAAAAAAAACATAAAAGCTGCATGTAAATACCTGACTCTGCCTCAAATGCTTTCATCTAAAACTACCAGTGTAAATTTCAGAGGCAGAGGTGTTGAAGCATTCTGAACACATCACCATTTAGAGGCTTTTTTTGCAGAACATCTAAAAATGCTTCAAGGCCATTTTCAAACAATTTAGACGCCACCATTTACCCATATTTGGAAAAGATTAAGACATTTACTAATGAGTTGATGTCCCAGATCAGTAATAAGAAATAGTAAAACTCCTCAGAGCTACATGTCAGAGTCTACAGACTTCAGTTATAAAGCTAAAGTTCTGAATGTAGAAGATTGAATGAGCAAGGCTGGTAAAAAAAGGGTTGCCCTGAGAAAAGAAAATAGAATATTAAAGTTTGACTTAGCTTTCCTAAGTTTCATCTGAGCAATCTAAAGACCTCTGAAGAAATGTCATTTTGACAGATAAGACATGCAATGTTTGATACCTCGTGTCAACTGTGAAGCACGGTGGGGGAGGACTGATAATAAGGGTTTGTTTTAGAACCTTGTGTGATCTTTAGGATCATCTATAACAACTATGTATGTCAATTTATTGTAAAGTAAAGAACGTGTCACATGTGATTGATGAAGTGTGTTTGGGGATTTTGTTTTGATCGAGCGTTTTATCGATTGTTGTATTTATTTTCTACACTTGTTTTAAATATTATTTTATTTCGCTGAGGACAGCGGATGCAACCTAGCCATTTTGTTAACTCTATCGCATCTATATTGTTTTGAATACTGACTATTGTCAGTTGTCCTATTTGATTAAAAAAAAAAACCTTTCTAAGGTCAAACCTCAACTTCAGAGAAATACTGAGGCAGGATCTGATAAAAGCTTTGCAGAAACCGATGTCTGCAAATGTCAACAAACTGAAGCAATATCACAAGGAAGAGTGGGTCAAAAATATGATATGAAAAATTGATAAAGTCAACCATAAGTTGGTTAGTTGGCTACATGTTTTTCAGCTGCAGGTAGTTTTAAAAACCATTTCATTATCAGCTGTAAATCACACTTTCATGCAACAGGGACTGCTGTTAGTAATGACAGTGTAACATGTTGCTATTCATTTTAAAGTTGTATTTATTGAGATACATGACTTTATAACAACCAACTGTTCAATACTTAGCTTGACTCATAAACTGTAGGACATACCCCAGCAGCAGAGGGGTCTACTCCATATTTTGGTGTCAGTGGTAATAAGTTCTGGTAATGGTACTAATTGTTGACTAGCTGCAGAAGTGTCAACACTACAGTGCCCAATTCAAAACCAGCATTTTTGGAAAACATTACTAGTTCAAAGTGGGGTTATTTTTGTCGTTTTGTTCAAAAGGCAGCCTTTACTAGCTTATTGAAAATTTTTAAAAAATGTGGACACAATAACAAGAGAAAGAAAAATAATGTTTTTCTTTGTGTATACCAGAAGTAGACAAAAGTCAGGAGTTCAAAATTGAAATCATTGTAATGTACCTAAATATACCATAATCTTATATAAAATTTAGTTTTAAAATCACTTTTTTTGACACCAGTCATCATACATCAAACAAGAAATAAAATTATTTCCTGAACAGGTTCAAAAAGATTAACATCTTGACTCTTTAAATGCTTTTACTAAGATTACAAAAAACCTCCAAACTTTAGGATATATTTGTTTATAATAAATACTTTTTTCAGAACGTTAATCTGACTCATTTTTACCATTATGGCTAGATATACACAGCTGAAGTCAGATATTTATGTTCAGTGTATAATAAGGTATATTCTCAAAAATATTTATATTTGTTCAATGCCCAAATAAAGATAGAGATATAGAAATTTCTTTTAATTAGAATCACAGATTTACAACATGGGTGTGTGGTTCATTATTCACTTTGAAGTGAATAAACTGGGCTTCAGCAGCCTGATCGACCCAACGGGGTAGTCTTGTTTTTAGTCAAGGTGACCAACTCTGGGCAGGTGTGAAGGATTCTTCAGCCTGCAAAAATGTGGATCAACTAGAACCAAAATGCTTGTATAAAAAACGCAACAGTGTTTTTGCTCTTTTCGTGGCATTAATAATGGATTTCAATGGGTGAATTTTTTCCCGTCGGAAGGCTAAAGGTTGATCAGGTGACCGGGAGTTTACAGAAACAACTGAAACATTTCTGACAAAGGTTTTTAAGGCATTGATGATACTATTAATAACACAATAAAAAAATTCCCACAAAGCCACTTGAGACAAATATTAAACGCCACTGTACTTCTGTTAGAGAGATTTATGTTTGTAATAATTACTTTGAAGAGTTAAAATGGTGTTTTTCACACATTAAATTTAAAACAATGTATAAAAATTATTTGCTACACAAACACAGCAAGGTTTGATTATGATTGTTTGCAGTTGCTTGATTTTGTTATAAATTTGGTTAGAATTTCATTGGAGATTTCCTTTAGAGTAATCTATAGGAAAGACGGTGCTGCTTTGGTTTTGATAATGCAAGCATAAAAAGTGAAGTTTCAAAAAGCTTATGTTTCTACCTACACTTTTTTAGTCTATACCTTGTGTTTTTGACATTGACAGGAATTCAAAGATTGTGTATTATTATTTATTTTCTGTATTAATGTGCATTTGTGCTGTCTTGTAAATGGAAAGGTTAAAAATGACCAAAATAAACTCCCTACATTGTGAAATATATTGTGAGTATTAAAGGGTTAACTCATACTGTACGAAACTTTACAATCCAATGATGTTACACCAACTTACAGGGTTTCAACAAGCCACTAAATGCAAAGAAACCCCACCTCCGGTGGTCCAGTCTTTTTTTTTAATAAATGTTTGATTATTTTCATTTTATCACCTACATTAAAAACTACTTGGATACCAGAAAACTGAACATTTACAAAGACAGAAATGCTCGACATGGACTTTTCTCTATCTACAGATTTGAACAAAGACCTACATTCAGTCTCTGGTAATTCCCTTTTTAGCGCTGACTGAAGGAACTGAAATCAGTTCAAGTGTTGGCTGGTGTTACACGACAAGCTTCTGTCATAGGCAGCTGAATGATACTCAAACTAATACCATTCACATTCAGAAAATTCTGCTTTTTCTTCCAAATTTGAAGTGTATGTTTCAGGTTCATCATGTAAAAGGCAGATTTTAAATGAATCTAAATGAAAAAAAAAAGTGAAATGTTAAAACTACAATAACGTTCAGAGTGTCGATGAGTCACCTGGTTCTCATGACAGGGACCTTGGCAGTACTCAGTCAGGCTCTCCACCGTCTGGTTGATGAGTCCCACGTTCTTCTCATTGATGTAGAGTCCCAGGAGGCCCAGTCCTCCTGTGGTGCTGCCACAAATACAATCCAAGAACTGAAGAGTCTCACACACCAGATTATAGTTGTTCTTGTTGTTCTGGTTGCGTAAAAAGTTCTAGAGAATAACAAAAAAATCAATAAATAAATCAATAAAACAAAAATTCATTAATTAAGAAATAAATAAATAAATAAAAGTAATAAAGAAATAAATAAAGAAATTGTTTTTTTTTATCAAACCTGTTATTCACTTTCATGATGTTAATATTAAAACATCTGACTTTAAAATAAAATCAGTTCAAAACAGTGAGGCAAGCAATGAGTTTAGTGGTGCTAAAACATGGTTCTTTGGAGTAAGTAGAATATTCTGGTAAGCAACACTTTTATTATTCGAATAAAAAAAAATCTTTATTTTGCTCATTACATGTGCATATAAAACACTTGATTTTGGTTAAAAATAATTAATAAAATAGTAGCTTAATGCTCATTTTGATAGTTGTGGATGAAAGTCACCTCTCAGACGTTAAAAACATCCCCCGTTTTAAGAGTAAACAGAATTCTTGCATAAAGGAAGTGTTCTGTCTGGGCGACAGGAGCTTCATAGCTTCAGAATGAAACCAGAACAAGACATAAAAGATATGGAAACAATTGCACCAGGAAGTTCTGCAGCTGGTGCCTATTTTCAACGTGGTTTCGTTTCTGTATAACTGAGCGTGATAAGTTTAAATTTAAAACTTGTGCCAGAAGTGTTTGCATAACCGTGGCCGATGGTCACAACAACAACGAGCCCACGTTCACAACAGGCTCATCCAACGGCTGACCTGCAGATCCCTGTTGTGGTTCTCACACAGCAGCTGCATGAGTCGTAAAATGGGCTGCATGATGGTAATAATGACGCTCATTTCTTCTTCGTCTTGGCTCTTGTCGGGAGTCGGGACGGGGGCACCGTCGGCGGCAGCTTGGTGCTCTTCGGCTTCGGCCTCACGCCGGTACGTCGTGTAGGCCTTCTTGGTGACGGCGGAGGCCTCGATCAGCTGCTCCTTCACTTCCTCAGTCACCATCGCAACAACTGGCACATCTTTCACTAAACAACGGAAAAAAAGGAGAGTCAATAGATATTTAGAGAGCAATATTTATAAGAGAAATTACTGTAATATTTGTATAAATAGACATTTATAACTAATTTTTTTGAGGGCATGTATATATTAAAGAGCAGGTAAAGACTAGGAATTCAGCTGACTGAGAACTATGTGCAGAAAAGACAACACATTCCTGTTCATTGATATCCCATGTGACTTAAATAGATTACCTTCTTCTTCTTGTTCACCTCGTGTTGTATTGGTGACCCTAAAGCTGCTTTCGCAAAACATTTAAGCCAGACTTAAGCCACCCTCTACAAATCTGGATGTGATTTGTGAATGGCAAGAAGCAGCTTAAAGAGGCACTCAACTTTTGGCCAATTTTTTTGGAACTCATTACCCCACTAACCTTTTTTACGCATTGGCAAGTCTTTGTCTGGTGGCTCTTCATCCTTCTTCTTGTTGCCCAGGTCACTGGTGTTGACTGTCACGGTAGCTTTGATCTCCTGCTGGGCCAGCTTCATGCGCTCATAAAACACCTTGAAGAACTTTTCAGATTTGTTGTCCCCCGTTAAACGATGATAGAATGACCGCTGGAGGAAAAGGAAAAGGAATATTTACGCTATGTAAGATGGACTTGTTTTCTCTCATCTCATTAAACCAAACATGCAGCTCTCAGGTGGATAAACTAGATACTGCATAGCGGTAGCATATATGCCCCCCGCACTTATGCAAAGCACCAATGCACCAGAACTCAGACATCATCAGAATGGACCTGATGGATACCCCTTCATCAGAGCTAAAAAAAAAAATCTGAAGTTTCTATGTTGCATAGTTTTTGAGTTATAAGCCCTTTTGCATGTCCAGACACCACCTATTAAGATGGAGCCCCCTCCTCAAATATTGGGTCTAATGAAAAAAACGTTTGCTGGTGCAATGTAGGTCTGACACATCTACATTCCTGCCAAATTTCACTTTGATCGGTGCAGCCGTTTCCGTGCTACGGTTGACTAAAAATGTTGAAAAAATAAATAAATAAAAACAATTTAATTTGTCAATGAGGTAGTGAGGTGTAAAAACCACGTCTTCTGGTTCTGGAGAACTGCTGCTGCTCAATGAAGAGAGAAACTCTGAAACAGGCTGGTTGAACAGCAAGAATCTTTATTTTGCAGTCCAGGAGATTACAGCCAAAAACCAAATTGTGGCCTTCTAGCCAAATGAATCACCAAAGTAAAAAGATGAAGAACGAAGGCGAAGGGTAGGGGAGTACAAGCCTCTTTATAGGTTGCACAGTGTAGTTCAACAGAGGCATCATAAATTTTGTCACGGTATACCTTAAGCAATCCTTTTCCTAATGTGCCGAGCTCTGAAGCTGGAAAACCAAGAGAGGCATAACACATCTGTGCATTCCTGAGAAGAGGACCCCACTCTTGGACACTACAGTAGAAACCCACAATGGGCTCACCTAAAATTTTCTATTCATATTTTCATTAAAAAAATCCTAACATTTAGTGAGGCACAAACGGAAACAACAGAAGTTGGATAAAAATCAAACAAATGCAAAAAAACAAAACAAAATGGGCTCGTTCTTTCAAAACATCAGTTCTGAATGACTAAACTTTCCGCAATAAAAGACATTTTAAAAAATAATATTAATGCTTTTATGCTGACAAGTGGCCACTCTGTCTAAATAATTTTACAGTTGTGAAATTTATATGGAGATGAGGCTGACACATTCAATGTTGACCAAGACTGACAACTTTCATTTTCCCCTCAGCCCCCATCTGTATTTCTGCTTCTGGATCTCATCAAAACAGTAATTTCCAATATTGTAATTTTTTTCTAAATTTTACCCGGTCTTAACCCAAAAATGTAATTTTTTACATTTAATCTTACTTTCCTTGTAAAAACGTTTGAAAGGCTGGGTTGAATACAATTAAAAAGCTTTGAGGGCCTTATATCTAAAATAATATTTGACAAATGTCTAAAAGAGCTGTAAGAGTACCTATAAAACATGTAAAATATTAAAAGGTCCTACAATGGAACCTTAGTAAAGTGTTTTCATTAGAAACCAGTTTAAAAAAAGTAATAAAATGAGGAAATAAATGAATATCTGTCTTTAATTTAAAAATTCCTCTCCAAACCATGTTCTGACAGTAGAGCCTGCAAGGATATGTGGAGGAAAAAAAAGATCCTGACATATTTTTGTGAGATCCTGCAAAAGTTTGTTGTAACTTTGTACCTCAGTGTGGTCCAAATGCATTAGACGTGATGAAACCAGCCTTTAATGAAGTTTCACAAATCAAATATAGGTTTTACATATCATAAACTTTGTTTTAAATGTTTTTGCTTTAAGTGTAAAATAAGGTCCAGGTTTTAGGAGTCTAGGTGGTGTAGTTTTGCAGTTGGACAAGGTCTAGTAATGTCCAGATGCAGAAAAAGTGGAGTAATTGTGCTTTAATGACAATTTCACAACTCTAAAACTTGATTTTAAACATTCTGCAATCAGTGTAGAATAATCTAGTGTCTTTGATGTGTCAAGGTTTGACGTGTCAAAGTATTAACTAGAGAAGATTAAAGGTGCTGAAGATAGTAAAAAATTAGGTGTCATTGCCCTTAGCCGGGATCCTGAGAAACTTTTTAAGAATCTCGCAAAGTAAATCAGGACCAACACCAATAATGTCCCCTTGTGTGCTCCGTATAACAGAGCAATATTAAGCTTAATTCATATTCAGAGCATGTATAAACATTTTAAAAAACATGGACACTTCATTTATTCTTTTTTTTTTACAAGCCTTTGCCCTCGAACCTTAAACTCCTCTCATTTCCTTTAAACCAGCATCTTGTTATACCTGAATTCTTTTGGCTGTTATTGTTATTGCTCCGTGTTTGTTCCCTGTTCTTTTCTCTGTTTTGTTTTCTTTGCAATGCTGCAAATTAGTCTGACTATAAGTTACATAAGCTTCTTTTCACAGAACAAAAACAACAACATCATCATCATGCTCTAGGATGGCTGATATCACCCTATCTGCTCTCTGACCCCTGATCACAAACAGTGCTGGTATCTTGAGGACAGTGTTGGTTGTTAACGTTAACAAGCTCCAAACAGATTGCAAAGCACATGACAAGATCCGGGATCAGCTTTACACACTACTTGTTTGACAACTTGATGAGTCTATGCACACACTTCAAAAAGGGAGCATGCATTTAACTACGTCGATCTAGGAACGTCAGAACAGAACAAAAAAATTTCCGTGTAAAGGATCATCAGTTTTTAGCTGTTCTAAACATGTTAGCTGTGCGTAATAACTAGTTTATTAAAAGATTTGTAAAGCTGGGGTAAGGAAGGAAAATCGTATGTAAAAATACTTGATTTGTGTTGTTTTTCTGCAACAGGCTCCTATGTTCTGCTCTATTTTCCTCCCAACAATCCTTCCTTACATAAGAGCTGTAATCAGCTGAGTGGTTACAGTGAGGACACACAGCGCCTCAGCTCTAACCCTGTTACATCAGCCCACAGAGGGCCAGACGCTGGGAGAGAGGAAAACCCTGCCCTACTTTTCATTGCCAGAATGGCACGAAGAGAGCGTGTGCTGTAAGGGGAAAAAAAAAAAAAAAAGAGTTCAAAAGTTGGAAGGGAGGTAGGCCTGGCTGATGTAAGCAGGAGTTATCGTGTAYGGAGATTCTGGGACAGTTTTAAAAGCACGTTACATAAAAGTCTTTGCAGGTTTTACCTTACTCAGTTTTGTCTTTTTCAAACAGTGAAACATGCAAACAGCTGAGAACGGAGCTGACGTAAATCTGTATAGAAAATCTTAGACGTCAACAAACAGTGGAAGCTATTGAGTGAGAATGTGCAGAATCACCTGCCACGTCCTGAGGAAAACAGATCTTTTAATGTATTAAGTTGTTTTCCTCCTCTTCTTTATGCAACAACTTCCTCCTGCTTGTTTTTCAAGTCGGTAAGAAGACAGGCTCATTTATTGATAGTGATCTGATCAACAGCCAGACTTATACAAGCGGGCAAACTTCTCCAAACAGAAAACAACAGCTCCAGGACAGAAGCTTTACAAGATTTACCATATTAAAACCGATCTCATGACCGTGGCCACAAAAACTCAATTTCTCCACAAATATAAAAAGATTATTTTTATTAACACTTGTCTGTCAGACATGCCCACGGCGGAGGGAATAGCATGCAAAGACAGCTCTGTGTCCTCAAAGAGACGGGGTTGGGTATCGAACCTAATTTGTTTTTAACCAAAATGTATCTGTTGACGAGAATCCCAAAATGTCAAGGCTGCTAAAAGCTGACAAAAGCTGCTTCAGTATGCTGAAACTGCTTTTAATTTGACATTTTCTTGTAAATAAATAACTGAATAAATGGGCTTGTTGACATAAAGATACATTTATAAACTAAGCAGCTCTCCTAAATAGAGAAAAAAAATGTAGTTTTTCAGTGAATCTTTTGATGAGTATGTCCACTTTCCATATTGTTAGTGCRTTAGAATTAATATATCATTTTGTAACAAAACACACAATTCTGGAATTTAACTGCAGTCAGGTTTTATTTACTGAGCACAAAAAGTRGTGAAATGTGTGTTTGGTACTTTTTTTTGTAACAACACTTCTTGGCAAWRCTTCCTACGATTGGCAGYACCTGGGGGTACCAGAAGCTCAAAACAAGCATCAATGRCAAAAGCAAAATCAGCTGTTTGGCAGRGAAGATTTGGCAAATTATACATGTGTGCARMCCACATACTCAGCTCTACTGCTCATCCCACAGATGCATGTTCCTTACAAGTGTGGCATCGCAAACCGCTAAGTTCACCAGCCTGTCAYAGGTCTCCATCTCCTTCCAGTTGAAGTYTCTTATTGGTTTAATTTGAAGGTAYGTWGGATCAATTGTGACAAATCAGTCAATCCAGACCAGAGTTATACTGTAGCTCTGTCTAACTTGTGATACTTCCAGTTTATCCCTTTCAGCATAAAAGYATTTCTTGAGTTTGTATCTATAAGTACCGTTTGAAGTTAGTCAAACAACAAGCAGCAAACAGTTTCTCTACCATGGCTGTGTCCAAAACGGGAGGCCGGGTCCTCCGTCGGCTGCTTGTGTCACAGCGCTGAGACAGAGGCTGTCCAAATCCGAAGACTCCTCCGATATACGGCAGACAAATGCGTCCTTTCTTTGTCCCGAATTGAAGGACTGGTCTGATTGGCTGTGTCCAAAACGGGAGGCCGGGTCCTCCGTCAGCTGCTTATGTCACAGCGCTGAGACGGAGGCTGTCCAAATCCGAAGACTCCTCCGATACGGCAGACAAATGCGTCCTTTCTTTGCCCCGAATTGAAGGACTGGTCTGATAGATTCTTCCCAGCCCAGCATATCCCATAATGCATTGCGGCCCGGCTGGAGATTTTTTTTATGCTACTAATGGCAGACGAAGCGAGAGAAAGAACATGGCAGCATAAAAATTAAAAATTTCAAGCGGTTGTGCGGTTGTCAATTAGTTCTTCAAATATTACCTTTAATTTAATTTAATTGTTTTGTGATATTAATTACGTTAATATATTGATATTTTTTTAATTTTGATCT